AAGAGAGACATTCTCTGTGTGCATGGGGCCTTCCGAGACACAGCCAGCTAGCATCCAGAACACACAGCTTCTTCTCATGCTTCATATGTTTGAAAAGAGAAGTCACAGCTGGAAGTATGTCTAAATACAATATTACCTCTCAGCAACAGTATGACCGTGGAAAGAATTGATGAAAAAAAAAAAAAAATCATGCATAGGAAATCTGCAAGCAAAGTCACAGAGCCCCAAAACAGAATTTGCATTCTTCCAAATAGTATTTAGTAAAGTCTGAGTACTAGTAGATTTGTTTTAGGAGGAAAGCAATTTCATAGGATCATGTCATGTTGAAGCCGTAGACTTTAAACACGTATTCATTTATTTCTTCCTATTTTCCTTCTTTCCCCTTCCTTCATTCCTTCAACAGTGGATATTTGAGATATGCTAAGTGACCTTTATAGAGCAATCTATAGATAAGTAACTTTTCTCTTTAGCCACCTTCATGACACTATTCTCTGCAACTGCCTTTGTATTCTAATCTGTTTTATTGAACTCCAAAAAATTCCCCACTGTTCAGCAGAGCTTCTTAGAACAGGCTAATGCTAACTAGCTTCAGTTTCTATGGGATTCCATATGAGAGACTCTTTACAGAAAGAGACAAAGGGTGAATCCAGTTGTCGTTAGTTTTCATTTCTAACAGTTCCAGGGGTTCAAGTGAGGCCTCGGTCACTTGCTGTGACACGGGTATTTTTGTCTGGGACGCTTGAAGGACTGGAAAGTGACGGTGCTCCTTTCACTCTCTCAGTTCAAGTACAGTATTCTGGTCCTGGCAGCTGAGAAGCAGCAGGTGTGAGCTGAGGAATAGCTGGCCATTGGTCCTGGCTCGAGAAGGGGCTTCTTCACAACGGTGGAATGTTTCACTATCACTTAGCCTGTCCAAGAGCACCTATTTTTATTTTTTATTCGTGCCCTGGTAGTAGAGCTCAAGCTTATTTTGGGTTTGCTGATGACCATACAATCAAAAGGATATCAGTGCAGGAAGCCAAGCAGCTATCACCTGTGCTGTGTTTATATCTCGAGAACTGTTTAGAAGGCTGATTACTCAATTAGCTGTGCCTCTTGACCTTCTAGTGTTACACTAAGAGAGGTGACTAACCTGTTCTTGAAAGTCACTTCACTTTTAATAACCCACACAATTCCCTCAACATATGGTAGGAGATTGACCAGATTGCACTATTAAATATTGATCCCACAGTGCTCTTTACATGTGGTAAGCATACTGAATGGTCCTTCTTTGTGGGTAACAGAAAGTAGCTTCCATCAGTGGTGTGCTGGTAAATGATTAACAACCAGTTCTCTGGGGGGAGTGGGGGAATACCTGATCTCTAGTATTTGTTGATTTCTATAGTGGAATATTAATAAGAACTTTATAAATTCAAAAAGTTAGATGAAATAGAGAAATTCTCAAAATGCAAAAATAACTAAAACTAACTCCAGAGAAAATGGAAAACCTGGAAACTCTATATCTATTAAAGAAATTGAATTCACAGTTAAATCTCACAAGGAAACCTACAAGTTCAGATGGCTCCACTGGAGAAGTATATCAAATGGGAAAGGAGGAAATAATCAATCTTGCACAAAGTCCCTCAGAAAATAGAGGAAGGAATGCTTCCCAATTTGTCTTCTGAGGTCAGCATTAACCTAGTACCAAAATTAGAAAAAGACATTATTAGAGAAGAAAACTAACTGTAGATCAATATACTTTATGAATAAAGGTGGAAAACATATGCCCTGGCTGGTGTGGCTCTGTGGGTTGAATGTCGTCTCACAAACCAAAAGGTCTCTGGTTTGATTCCCAGTCAGGACACATCCCTGGGTTGCAGGTCAGCCCCTGACTCAGGGGGCGGGGAGGTGAGAGGCAACCAATCAATGTTTCTCACACATCGGTGTTTCTCTTTCTCCCTCCCTTTCCCTCTCTAAAAATAAATCAATAAAATCTTTTTTAAAAAAGTGGAAAAAATATCCTAACAAAATGTCAGCAGTTGAATCCAGCCATATATAAAAATTTGAATACATAACGACTAAGTATTTAAAGTTGTTTTAACATTAAAATAAATAAATATAATTCATCATATTGACAGAATAAAGGAGAAAACTACATTATCACCTCAAAATATGCAGCAAAGCTATCAGAAAAAAATCAACACTCATTCATTACATACATAATTTAACAATAGATGGGATATTCCTCAACTTGATAAAAGGCATGTAAGAAAAACCTGCAGCCAAGATCAAACTTAAATGCTAAAAGAGTTAACGCTTTCCCAAAGAGAGGGAAGAAGGCAAGAATGCTCACTCTTAATTACCTCTAATGAACATTGTGCTGAAGGTCCTAGGTTGTGCAACAAGAAAAGAAAAAGCAATAAAAGGCATATAACTTATAAAGGAAGAAGAAAAACTGTCTTTATTTTCAGATTATGTACATATATAAATCTAAAATACTTTAAAATACTTTAAAAAACAATGTTACCATGAAAAGTCATTTGTTTTTATATACTATCAACAAAAAAAATGAAAAAAAATTCAATACTATCAACAGCAGCATAAAAAAATCAAATGCTTAGTGATAGATTTAACAGAATGTGTGCAAGATCTGTATGTTGAAAACTACAAATGCTGAGAAATTAAAGAAGATTTAAATAAATGGAGACATAAATTAGGTTCATAGGTTTGAAGACTTAATATTGCTAAGATGTCATTTCTCTCCAAATTAAATATATTGTTTCAATACAGTTATAATCAGAATTCTAGCAGTATATTTTTGTAGAAATTAATCAGCTGGGATTCTAAAGCTTAATAGGAAATGCAAAGGACTTAAAATAGTCAAAACAGTTCTGAGAACAGAAAGGGAGCACGTGGGAAGCAGAATCCTAAAATGGCCCCAAGGATCCACCCCCACCCCCACCCCCACTGTGCAGGCTCCAATAATTCCCTCCCCTGGAGCGTGGGAGGGGCCTGTGAATACGCTGAGATACCACTCTCATGATTAGGTTACATTATATGGCAAAGGTAAAGGGATTTCCACCAGTGGCTCCATCTAGGATTGAAAGGGCGTAATGCCTGTCTGTGTGCACGCCAGACCAAATGTAAAACTTTGTGCAGAAACGAATGCCTCTTAGGCACCTCTCAGGTCAAGGGATACATTTCACAGTCGACCCTCTGGTGTCAGACCTAGAAAGGCCCGCGTGGGCCCTGGGGCATACTTGTGTCTTCTTGGGAACTCCAGGGTCTTGGTTTCCTGGGAAGTAGTCTAGAAGAGAAGGGGTATCGGCTCTGGGTGGACAAACCACTTGGCCCTGGGATCGCCTCACTTCATAGAGAGGGAGGAGGCTCAAGGAGGCTAGAGTAGGGGCTGCCAAAGCAGGACGCCTCAAGACTTTTTTGTGTGTACGGATGACCTCAGGCCCTTGTCCAAGGGCACGATCAGAACTTACCAGGACGGGAGGTGGTATTCTCACAAGCTCTCAGGTGCAGCTGACCCATGGGACCCCCTTTGTGAGCAGTGCTGGAAAGCCTGGGGCCCAGGTCTGAGGGCAGCTAACACTGGTAGTCATGCATTTGATGTCGATAGTGGAATGCATAAACCAATTGTGGTTCATTAAAAAATTGTTCATTGCCCTTGGGAAGATCCTAATGATAGTTAACCTTAAGCTAATAATAGTTTTTTTCTTTTTTTCATCTTATGTATTTATCAACTGAGTAAAGGTAGTTGACTCAAAAGCAAGATAAAAAACTGAGGACCTCAGTCATATTAAAGTAATGTGTATAATCTATACTTGCCTTTTGTCATCATTCAGTGTGTTTTTTTGAAAGAATGAATGTTCGTAACACCCTAGGTTTTAAGAGTGATTTGTTTTCAGGCAAGATAACGCATGCTGTAACTGAGATACTTGGAACAGAACTTGGGAACCCATCTGATTACTAGCCTTGAGCTATAACCATCAGGGGTTTCATAAAAAGTGGCATTAAAATATTTATTATTTTCATTAATAAAATGTGGGGGCATGGATGACATAAGAAATGAGATTGAAATTGTTTCTGTTGAATATTCATGTTGCATTTATCATCCTGTAGTTTTTATTATTTGAGACATAACTTTGATTTGAGACGGGGACTTGGATCCCTCCCCTGGGATAGTGCCCTTTTTCTTGCTAGCATTCGCTTCTTTTAAAGTCTCTGCTGAAGGTTAAGACCTTGGGCCATTCATTTCTTTATTGTATCTGAACTTACTCTCTCATCATTAGTTTGAAGAAAGATGATAATAAATTCAGGACTCTACTCTCTTTTGATGATTATGTTGCTGATGGGTCAAAATCAGCCTCTGGAATCCAGATGAACTTACAGGTTATTCCAAGAGAATTAGGAATCTTCCTTTGCCCACCACATACTCTATTCAGCGCAGCTAAAGCCCCCGCTCAGGCTATATAAATTAATACATTTGCTTGCAATGTGACTTCGGGACATTTTATAGCGGTGATTTTCATGCTGTTAGTGGTGAAATAGGAACTTGAGAATGCGAGGATTAATTTAAACCACATGATGGGTTCAAGGAAAAGGGACACCCACTATAGGTTCTTGAATGTATGCTGACTCCGTACAGTGGGGAATGGGATCCAAAAACCACCAGTGAACTTTTAAACCCTCTTGAGAGGAATCAAACCAATGTAGTCAGCCCTGGGAGGGAGCTGTTGCAGACAACAGACAGACAGTTTCTCTTTCCCCACAAACGCAGCCCTTTGCCTGAGAGAACACAATTGAGTGATCAGGGAAAGAAGCAGGGCCCCAACCATTACCACTAATGGCATGAAGTTCGCGCTGTTTTTCCGCTCAGTAGCTGGTTTACTGATTTGTCTTTCATTATAGATTACAAATTCTGTTGAGCTCTTTGAACAATAGATAATTAACAAATTGTATGTTGCGGATAGTTGGTGAATTTGAAATAAAGGATTTCTTTTCCCTTGCAGTTCGTGGTAGCGGTGTTCTGGATCATTTATGCCTATGACAGAGAGATGATTTACCCGAAGTTACTTGATAATTTTATCCCAGGGTGGCTGAACCACGGAATGGTGAGTTGATTAAAGCAAATGGTTATCTTTATTTTTTGAAAAATCTATTAAATGCTATTTTCTAACTTAGGCTTTTTATAGCTTCAATCTAATAGCTGTGAAATGTTAGAAGGTTATAATGCAGTTATAAGCCAAGAAGAATACTGAACGTAAATAAAAAAGTCTTCCCATGAAATCGAGTCACAATGAAAATTATGTAGTAGATGAACCCACAGTTTGTACGAGGCATCTGTGGTGTTTGACAGTAAGATACAGCTAGCTCATTATGGGATGAATTTGTGCCGTTTAGGGGCTTGTCCACTCTCGGAGCCCGAGGATCGATTCTCCCCTGCACAACTATTGACACCCTGCTCCTCCTCCGCTCCCATCAGTGCGATCATGTGGGGAGTAACTGCGTATTGTAGCCAGAGAAGCTCTCCCAGGAGCAGCAGGGCTGTTCCATTTCCTGGGAGATGGGCCCTCGGTAGTGGCTGCCTTGTCTGTATCTGCCCATCCAAGGGCATTTGCCTGCAGCTGCTGGGTCTTTTTCTTCTTCTGAGTCTAATTCTTCTGATGCTTTAGCCCTCGTGTTACCTTCCCAAGTTTCCAGTTTCAAATCAAATACTTTGGATGGTTTGCACATCACTTTTCAAGATCTGAAGAGAGATTTTCTGCAGAGAAATTGTGTGTCATCTTCCCCTTCTGCTTCTGGAACTGAGCGCGGTTTTGGTATTAAGTAAGCAGCCTGCATTTTTTTGGTGACGGCAACTTTTAGAGTGTCACTGGGTGCTCCTGGTGAAACGGGCAACCCATCACAGAAATTATAGGGGAGAAAGAGCTAGAAATAGTGTCTTGAATGTGAAAGCCCTTTCATGACTCCATGTCTTCGCAGCCTCTGCCCCACCTGACCTTCCCTTTCTTAGCTGGGGAACTCCTGCTTATTCTGCTAGTTTAGGTAACGTCGCTAAGAAGCCTTGCCTCACTCTCCCAAGTCAAGTTAGTGCTTCTGTCATTTGTGCGAGCACAGCACTTTCATATCGATATTCTACACACCTGTATCCCCACAAAAATGTTAACATTCCCTGTGCAAAGCTGCAGCCTGCAAATTCCAAGCACCCTGCCCAGTGCCTGACTCATCCTAGGGTCAGTACGTATTTATTAGGTTGATGAATGAATTTGATTTGCCAATCTCCATAACGCCTTGCTGGTCAATACTAATAGCTACTGTTTTCGAGAACCTACTGTGTGCCAGGCATTCTATAGTTATATCATTTAATTTTCATTCGGGTATTATGAATGAGAAAGTATTATCCCTTTTACAGATGAAGAAGCTTAAGCTCTGAAAGATTCTGGTACCAGAAGTGCCTTAGCTAAGGAAAATTGGTACATTGGATGCTCAAGAAGTACAATCCTTGACTATTTGGAGCTCTCAGCTGAACATTATTACCTTCGGGCCAGAGAATGAATTACAACCTTAGCAGATCCTGGCACTAGTCTTTCCAACAAATGGTTTATTGAGCATGTATACAGCCATTAGGACTTCAACACGAGTCTCAGCATTTTCCTTTGATTCAGTTGGATGGGTTAAAATTCTCACTCTTAGAGGCAAGCACTACATAGAAATGCAAGGAGGATTTGAGTGATGCAGATATTTAGGAAAGAGAAAAGATAAAGTTATTAACATGTCAAGTCCTCTCAGATAATGCGAGCTCAAAAGATTCTTTCACAATGAATTTTGTCTCTTTAGTACAGATAAATGACCGCTTCTTTGCTTTTCTTCATACTTCACCTCATGGTTCCACGAGTTAACAAACACAGAAGTTGCGTGTGGTGGCCAAGGAATATTTTGCAATATTAAATAATTTACATGACTCTAAATTTGTATGTATGAAATTTTAAATACAACATGCCCAAAGCATAATGGTGGTTATTTTAGACTGGCAATTAAAATATGAACATTAAATGCTGAAATCATGAATAAATTAAACTTTTATAAAATGTGTAATAATATTTGTGAAATATCAAAAAATTAAATAAGTTTTCAGCTTAAATTTTATTGAAAAGTTTAATAATAATTAACCAGAACTTGTGTTTGCTTTTAATAAACAATTTTGAATATTTAATTTTAAAAATAGAAAAATAATTCATTGATAAAATTTTACATTAATTTTAATTTCATATTTTTATGAAAACATTTAAATTATGTACACTTTATTATAATTACATTTTATTGTAAATTGATGTTAGATTTAGCTTAGAGTAATACTATCAGTAGAGCTCAAATTTTGTAAAAATTTCCTTTATAACAACAAATTTCATGAATTAACTTCATGAAAGGCAAGAAAATGAATTTTAATACATATATTTATATTAAATATTTTATATTCACATTTGTAATTTATGTCAATTTATCTATATTTTACTACTCATCAAATCACATATTTTCTATTTTATGAAAATATATCTAACAAGGTAGGATGATAGAACTTTTTTTTAATACTTGACTTAATTTGTAACTTCTAAATATTTCTGCAAATGGTCTATGGCCCACTAGGCCTATTTGCTGTTGTATGTTTAAATTTTTATAACTACATGAATTCCTAGGGAGAATGTAGCCTGTACTTATTAGAGTCTCAACATAATTTCTAGGGACCCGGACCCCTGAACCACAGAGCTCAGATGCAGTTTAAAAGTCTAACATGACACCATTTCAGAAGACATTATTCAGTCTTGAATTTCCAGCATTTAAACTTCCCATCACAAAATTAGTCAGAAAACGAGCATAAAGAAAAACCCACAGACTCTGAAATTCACAGGGTTTTCATTTTGATACACACTAAAGTTGCCAGAAGTTAGACATGGTTATAACTAAAGGCAAGTATTCTATCACTTCCTTTCCACTCTCTACCTCTTTTTCTCATCAACTAATCCTAGAATTTATTAGCAAAAGAAATGAGAAGGGGGTAAATCGATGAGTTGAAACAGTAGTACACCCTTGGTGTGTAACTACTAAGTTATCTCCAGGCCTTATGAAAGTAGCACCAAAAATAAATAAATAAAAAGAATTTTAACTTATTACAATTGAAGATATAAACATATAAATATAGCAGATTTAAATAGAATTAGTTCAGTATCCAAATAGATCAAAAACGGTCTATTCTTAAAGCCTTATTTATTTTTGTATTCCCAGCAATTCAAAAAGCACACAATGTCTATAAGGCATTCATTAAGTGTCAATGATAAAAAAGATGTTTGTGCATTTGCTTTTGAAACATGGAAAAATGTCAGGTTTACATTTATATCTTTCTACCACCTTTCTATGCTCAGTCCACTGATGACCAGACAGAAGAAGACCATGTGATATCAGCCAATGAATCAGTTTCTAAAATGTAACGAGAAAGGTCACGGACAGTTGTGTGAGGATTCTGCTGGCTGCAGCACGAGGGTTGGTGCTGCGCATTGATTTAATCCACTCTAGTAAACATTTATTGAATATCAGTGATATGCAAAGCACCCTGCTAGGCGCTCAACGGTTATAGGATGAGAAAAACACTTGCAATTTTAAAGGATGGAAATGGCATGTTTGAAGTGGGGGAAGGCAAATAGGAAGACAATTCCACAAGCAGAGTAGTTCCCAACAGGCTAGGTTCACTCTGAGAAGGAGAAGCACTATTGTTCTGGTTGCGAAAACAGAAGCCTGGACCTTTCTCTTCTGCTGATTATTGTTGTAAAGCATTGCCAATGGAGTAAATATACATTAAAACAATAGGTAAATAAATAAATATTTAAATTCCAGTATGATTGCAGACTCCCACTAATGCTATAACAGGAGAGAAAAAAAAACCAACAATGAGACCATGTTTCTGCTTATTGAAGACCTAATTAATGTTTATGAAGTGCTTCGAGAAGGCCCAGCACTGTGGAACTTTATTATATTATTGTTATTATTACCACAGATCCTTAAGCAGACATGACCTAGATATTCTTATAATCACAGCAGGAGTTTTTCACTCCCCATGTAATTTTAAGGAGAGAAAAAAAATAAATCCCACCTCTCTTCATGCTTGATTTGTCGGTTGTTCTTGTTATATGTAACTGATCCTCAAGAGAACCTTAATTCAGGGCACTATTTATTCTGTTCAGCATTATTTTGACATTTGGTAATTACTGAAGTTTTTGTACATCTGTCTTTCCCAGAAGAAAAGGCCTTAAATGCTGCTTGCATGATCATCAGTTTTGCAGGGACTCAGATTTGGCATTATTCTTTTGGTGAATTTCCAGTTCTGGGATACACAGATCATGCATTTCAGTACCCAGGGAGCCTGTGCCACCCTGAGAGTGAATATTTTATAAAGTAAGCTGTTGGCTGAAAGAAGACCATTGTAAACATTCTGCATGAAAAAAACCCCAAGAAAACAACAACTGACCTTTCTCAGTTTTCCCAATACATTCTAAAGTAGCTAGAAGATATCTGGAAATTATTAAAAATAAAAGTTCAGACTGGAACAGAGGTCAGAAATTTCTTGGGAACCTCTTTCTAAGACTCCCAGTGGACCTACCAAAGAAAACACAAATAAGACCCCAAAGACCCAGGAACAAGGAGGGTTGCATCCACAGTGAGGCAGATGCTTCCGGCAATGCCGCATACTGTTCTTGGGGGTAATAAGCTTTTTTCCATCTTCAGTTTTACTGATCCGAGCTTCTTCCATTGTGAATTTTTATTTGTGATCATTATTTCCACCCAGTCCAATTCTTTGGTCAGATTTTGCTGCTCTAAATTTTGCCATGAGGATTTGATTATTCTGTTTAAATCAGTAGTTAGCTTTAAGGTTATTTAATTGTAGCCATTGCAGATTTTATTATTTATTTATTATTTCAACCAGAACTATTGTAAATTAGAGAAAATATATTTTGTAAACTGATGTTTGAGAAACCTTTGAAGCATTTTTTGGTAGAGAGACCAAAAGGGCTTTCCAGTTTCACATGTAGGAAACTTAGAAGTCACATCTCTATCCTAACAA